CAACTCCTCCTTCGATGCCGTCTTTATCTCGTCAATCGTAGCGTAACGTCGTCCTTTCATGGGCCTCTTTAGTTTACGGAACAAGAAAAAGTCAGAGGGGGTCCAGATTTGGCCAAAAAGTCGCATCGTAGTGCAAAAGCCAATTTTTGTTCTTCCACAAATCCGGGCGTTTCTGGCGGATTGCTTCGCGCAAATTGCGCATAACTTGCTGGTATTATTCCTTATTGACCGTTCTACCCTGTGGCAAGAACTCATGATGCACCACACCCCTGCAATTAATTTTTTCGTCTGTCGTTGAAGTGTTCGGGCGTCTGATACGCTCTTCGTCGTTCACATCTTTCGTCTTTCACACAAAATTTGATACATCTTAGGTAAAAATCGAAGAGCATCCAAAACACGTGCAAGCAAAGCAGCTGTCAACGAATAAGTGAACATTCAAAATGGCCGAGCATGTCGGTATAAGTGACAGACATGAGTACCAACATAACGCAACAAAAAAATCGAAATTCGATTATACGTAACCCGCAAAAATTCAAAATTCGCAATAATTTTTGAGCGCACCTCGTATACCTTAGTAACTCCATCATTTTGTTATACTTAGTAGTTGAAATTTTACGTCCCATTGTTGTATAATGATGTTAATTTTATTTTGTTGAAGTTCCTTGGTCTTGCCCGACAAGGTAAGAAATCAAGTATTTTGAACTCTTTAGCTACTTCCATAGATTTGTGATAAAACATTTTATAGGGTTCACTCCTCATAAGTCGCATCCAACACATCTTTAGGCAATTTACAGGTTCACTACGAGTGTTTTTTAATCTTTTATGAATTGCTTCTTCCAGAGGTTTGGTAGAAAAAATCTTCACTTTTCATGTCAGCTAATATAAATTTGTTGCTTTTTCGACATATTTGTATGGTTTCATTGTAATCCTGTGGGACATGCCTTAAAGTATTTTTCCTCAAAGCCAATTCTATCACTCCAAAATCACTATCATTAAGCAAAAATTAATGTGCTGATAGTAAAAAAAAGTCAATAATATCTGCACAATTTTCAACCATTTCAATGCCAATTTCATATTCCTGTTCTGCCCAGTGTTTTTTGAGATGTTTTAATATACAAGATCTTACTTCCTGAGAACCCCTCAATGCCACAGTTTCATCCCAGGCATATATGTAAACTTCATTATCGTGAAAATTATGACAACCTCGGTTGTAAATGTAGATATTACGTTTGTAATAGGCGATGGAAACATTTAATTTTGCAAAGACTAACGCCTTCAGTGGACTTAAACCGATTTCAAAATCATTTTTTTTTTTAATTACGTTAACTAACTAATTTTTAAGTGCCCAATATCATTGCGATATTAATGATACTTGACTTAAAATAATTATAAACAGATATTTTATAGGATTGTGATTATTGGTATCAAAGACCACTTTTTTTTTTAAATGAACTTAATTCACTTTCAAAATAAAAGACTCATACATATATACTTGATATGTTTTAAAAATAACGAAAATGTTCATCTTTTCTTAATAAAACATTTATTATGCGTATTCATTGATATTGTCGCCTTCAAAATAGCGCTCATTAGAGATTATACACTTTTGCCTGCACTTAGTTCTTTCAGCGATGCGCTTTTAATATCTTTTACGACAGTCTTTTAAGAGTTTTCATATATTTGGTAATAGCAATAGCCAGAAGAAGCCACGTCCGGTGAATGTAGGAGCTCATTTTGATATCCCAACCATTTCTAATTCAACGACTCGCCATCTATTCGCCCGACTAAAGCACAGTAGACTGACGCCTGCCAAGGCAGTCAAATAATAGATAAGATACTTTCACCTACGCCCCGTCGTCCTTACAGTTCTTGCAAAAACTTGTAAAGAGATCTCTAGCATTTCAGTATATTGTCCAATCAGATGGATTACCAGAAAAGACTCCTCCACCTACTATACCTTCGAACTTTTTTGTACTCTATACCAGTACGACCTGAATTTTTAACCAACTAACAACTGGCCGCAGCAGTAGCCGAATGGTTAGCATCGTACTGCTATTCTGAAGACCAAGTTTCGAGCCTTGATTTAATATACGTCCATTAATTTTTCTAATTGCGGAATGACAAGCTCAAAAAAATCCATCGGCCGCCCCGAGGCGGCTTAGAATAAACTGTAGGTATATTTATTTGTTGGAGAAACATCAAGACGCATATCACCAATAGGAGGAGGAGCACGGCCGAAAATGGCTTCAGCGGTTACTAAGTGCCAATAATATAAGAGCTCTCGCTCTCGCAATATTTCCCAATAATCACTTTGGGTAATATTCTTTTTGAGGTTATTTTGACAGCAACAAATGGGACAATAGTAAGAAATGGCTATGAGGGAGTGACATTCTTTGGCCGGTTAACAAGTCGGGTCGTTCCGGTATAAAGTCCCGACTGCCATTCCCTGCCGCGTGTAAATTCTTGAGCCTCTTACACGCGGGCGCTCAAAGTCCCATTTCACACAAGGCGATATTAGCCTTATTATGATTATGGTGCACGTAAATCCATGGGTATCAAGAAATTGCTAAAATTTTAAAGAAATTTTAAGGAAACTGTATTGCCACATGGCTTGTTTCTAGTTTATTATAAAAATGAAAAAGTTCAAAAAAAAATTATTTTTTCATTCATTTTTTTGAAAGCGCAAAATTGATAACCCTGCATAAGTACATATATGTTGGTAAATATAAAATATGTATGCATATCTAACTAAAATGTGTTTGTGTTTCACCTACTTAAGTAAGTTTCAGTGATTGATTGCATTACAAAAAAAAAAAAGAAAAAAAAACTTCGTCTGTTTGCTTTGACACAAACATAGATAACAGAAGCCTCTAATATGGACAACTCAAATGTAATTAACTTTTCCACATATATGAGCAGTAAATATTTGTTGTTTTATATCGAACTAATACCAACTCAGATTTTTATTTATTTTTTTTTAAGAACCATTTCCCAAGACGCTTGGTGAAAACACTGATAATTGTGAAAGTAGTTTTGTTTTTGCTTGCGTAAATGCAATTAAATTATCTACCAAATGTCTGAACTTTGACGCCAATTAAGCGCTGATAATTCTTGAGTATCACAATTTTTTTTTTGGGAGACAAATTTTGTGAAAAATATTGCTAAGATTATAATTATAGTTAGAACATTTTTTTTCAACAGATGGCGTTATTTATATATATGCTAAGCTGACGCAGCTGCACCTCGAAACCGCCGAAAATTTATTGTTGAAAAACCTCTTTGTACTCAACGTGTAACGGTTTGGTGTGTTTTTCATCAGGCAGCGTCATTATACCTTTCTTTTTCAAAAATGCTTAAAAAATTATGAAGAAGGGAAAAATATGTAAGGCATACCTGTCACAAGCGGTGACTAAAGACCAATAGTTCTTGCGACTGTCGGTGCAATATACTGAAACAACCTAGATTTTATGCGATCTAGGACTGTCATTCGCGCAAAATACCCTAAATCCCACTTTGGAGAATACTTTTGCTGTTAAAGCGATGCTGTTGTAATTTATTTAGATGTGTGAAACTGATCTTTGGAACCATAACATGTCAGATATGCTGCTTAACATAGAGAATCGTTTAAGCTTCAAACACTCAAAATTTCTCATTCGTTCTTAAGTGCTGTGAAATTATTTAAGATTTGCTGCTATACTTATGTATGTCTTAAGTAAATCCTTTCCGTATTTATTATGGTGTTAACTTCTAGCGCAGGTCGGGTTAAATTAGGTTGATTTTGTTCGAGATTCCACTTCATGAATTTATTTATTTTGTGTGCACTGTAACCTTACCGGCGCACTAACTTAATCCGAAACCCCTGAAACCATTTCCTATCAGATTCACTAAACTCGAGATTCCACTTCATGAATTTGTATAAACATATTTTCTATTCACTGTGACTTTACCGACGCACTAATTTTATCCGAAACCCCTGAGGTCATGGCTTGTAAGATTCACTAATCTCTCTTGAGACTTATTTATTTATTATTAGGTTATTACCTAGCAAAGGTCGGGTTAAATAATGTTGATTTTGTTCGATATTCCACTTCTTGAATTTCTTTAAACTAATTTTATTCGAAACCCCTGAAACCATTTCCTGTACGATCAATTAAGTTTTTGTAGTAAAATTATACAAACTTTAGTATGTTCGTTGTGGTAACATTTAAAGTAGTTGCTGAACGCAACTCGGCTTCACAATTTTCCAAAAGAACTTCTCGCCATCTCTTCTTCCATATATTTTCGTCATAAAGGTCATATAAGATCGCATTTCAGGCAATTCACTATTCGTATAGAGAATTTCGCACCCAAAACTGCTCGCGCCGGGTATATTGAGTTAATTCAACGCCATTAAAAAAGGATAATGCGTGAAGTGCATGGTTTAAGACGATGAAGCTCACGCGGGAAATCAGACCGGATCAAAAAGTAAGATCGGAAGTAATTGAAGAAGTTACGGTGAGATGAAGTGATAAAAGCACTTGCCAGATGACTCAAACACCTTCTTCGCCTTGATCAGCTTAAGTACCTAGTCAACACAAGCGCGGAAGTCGTTTCATCTTTTTGCCGTTCGGCATCGATTATAGACACCGAGTGAAGGCAGATACTTCCTACGCCGTGGAAAGGTTTTCCTCTTCCTCTAGGAGAGTTCTTGCCCATACGAGCGAGATGATGTAGACAGCGTAGCAGCTATATACTATATCACTGCCTCTGTCTCTGTCTAATGTCATCGTCAGTATCGTGCAGCTCATCATTCTATGGTTATCGCCTCTTGAGATAGAGGATATCAATAATTATATGCTCTCATGGAAGATTGTAGCTTCTCTGTTTAGTTTTGCAGCCCTTATTACTTTCTCTAGCCTTTTATTAGAGTCACACAAAAACTCTTCCTTAGCTACACTTTTCCCCAACCCGTCTTCAACTTACATTTTCTAATTTTTGGTTTTACTTAACTCTCCTTGCAGATAATATAAAATGCCTGCTAACAAACCTTACGAACGTCCAAAGGATTTCATTGATCCCGGTCTACCATCGAAGTGCACATGGCATTTACGTACGAAAGAGAAAACGCCACACACACAACGTCCCATGTAAGTGCATTTACAAGCTTTACTAGAATCATAAATGCAATAAAATTAATTTTCATATCGAAATTTTCAGCGCTCACCGTCAAAAACTGACCCCAAATATATTGGAGGTTATTGGCTGCACACCACTGGTTAAACTGAATTCCATACCCAAAGCTGAGGGTATCAAGTGTGAAATGTGTAAGTACTCTACAACGCACCACTTTCTACTTCAACTTGAACACTAATCAATCCTCCTCTATCCTCTGCAGATGCCAAATGTGAGTTCCTTAATCCCGGCGGTTCGGTGAAGGATCGCATCGGCTATCGCATGGTGCAAGATGCCGAAGAGAAGGGTCTACTCAAACCAGGCTGCACGATTATTGAGCCAACATCGGGTAATACAGGCATTGGCATCGCTATGGCTTCCGCTGTTAGGGGTTACAATTGCATTATTGTGATGCCGGAGAAAATGTCTAACGAGAAAGTGTCAGCGCTACGTACCTTGGGTGCCAAAATTATACGCACACCCACCGAAGCGCCCTACGACAGTCCGGAAGGTTTAATTTGTGTAGCACAGCGTCTGCAGAAGGAGATACCAAATGCCGTAGTCTTGGATCAGTATCGTAATTCGGGTAATCCCTTGGCGCATTACGACGGCACTGCTGCCGAAATTTTATGGCAGACCGATAAGAAAGTGGATGTGGTGATAGTGTGTGCTGGCACTTGTGGTACTGTCTCCGGTATTGGTCGTAAAATAAAAGAAGAGCTACCTAGTTGCAAAGTAATTGCCGTTGATCCATACGGTTCAGCATTGGCACGCCCCGAAGCGTTGAATAAGACAAATGTGAGCTTCTATGAAGTTGAGGGAATAGGTTATGATTTCGTACCCACCGTCAATGACTACAATGTTATAGACTCATGGATCAAGGTGGAAGATAAACACTGCTTCCCTATGTCGAAACGTTTGAATGCTGAAGAGGCTTTGCTCTGTGGTGGCTCAAGTGGCGCTGCGATGTACGCTGCATTGCAGGTGGCGAAAGACTTGAACGAGGATCAACGTGTTGTGGTCATACTGCCTGATGGTATTAGAAACTATTTAACAAAATTCGTTTCCGATAATTGGATGGAGGCACGTGACTTTAAGCCAGTGGTGAACGAACATAACCACTGGTGGTGGGACACACCGGTTAGTGCATTGAACTTGAAGGCGCCTGTTGTTTTGAAATCGGATGCGAGTTTTTCGAAGGCGATCGATACACTGAAAGAGCACAACGTGGAACAAGTGGCACTCGTAGATGTCGAGGATGGGTAAGTGAGCGTTAGCTAAAATATTATGAAACAATAAAAAAATTCATTAAACATTTGTTGGCATTCCTTAGCACACCATTGGGCGTGTTACTGCAAGAAACTCTCATCAATCAGATCGTAAGCATGAATCGCAAATTGGACGAGCCGGCAGTTAAGGCGGTTAACAAGCGTATTATACGTTTACCTGCCAATGCGATTTTGGGTAAATTGGCGCGTATTTTGGAATTGGATCCTTGCGTTCTGATCGTGGATGATGAAGGTTTGCTACTCTACACATGCACATTAAGAAACACTGAATATTTAAAAATTGTTTGTTCTCAATTTTCCAGATGGAAAAGAAGTCGTTAAAGGACTTGCCAACAAACTGGATGTGCTCGCATTCATCGCTAAGGGTGCTCCTCATACTAATGGCACTAATGGACAATAGAAGCTAAGCTTATCCCGTAGTTGCTCTTACAACGACTCTTTTAACTATTCCATGAGATATTTGTTGTTCGATCGTTGAGGCTGAGCTAAGACATAGCCTTTTTTGTCGTACGAATGGCAAATTTGCTTTTAACGGTATATGATTAGTGATCCATAACCAAGAGACTGTATTATCATCGTGTTATGGTTTCTCTAAGCTCTACTTTGTTCGCAATTTTTCTAATTTAGCTTTTAAGATTATACGACGCAAGTGGTGCGATAGTGAATTAGATCAAGTACGAATACTTTTTAATATGAAAAGTTTTTAAAAATAAATTTGAAAAGAAAAATAAATTTGAGAAGAAGTTTAAATTGAGTATGTGGATTTCACAGGGTGTTCTGAGCTGTGCATGGTTTCTGAAATTCACCTGAAGCTGTTTTTCTTTTGCTCTTTATTAAGTAGTGGGTTTCTGGTTGATTCTTTGTTTTTCTGGTGTGAATGGAGGCCAAGCAATTCATGTTAATTCAGGAGTTACTTCTGTTATTTAGATTGCTTTGAATGAGAAGGAGCTGGTGTAAATTTTCCGTTACGCATTACAATATTGCTTTCCGCCAGCAGCTATTTACGTTAACAATTGCATAAACAGCGTCTACTTATAGGGAAATTTTACAATCGTTAAGTTAGAATTAACTTTCGCATCAAGCACTGTACACACAAATCTTTAATTCTTCTACTACTGCAAATGTGTTTGATGATTGTCTACTATTCGTTTTGTTTTTGGCGTTATTAATTTTTCAGCTCATTTCACACATAGCTTCTCACTTCATTATAAATATAAAATAAAACAGATTTTTTATTTCCGTTGTTCGGCAGCTGACATAAATTAATTTCAAACGGCAAAAAGGAAATTGACATTTAACTTTTGCAACGACAGCGGATATTGGCAACTGAACAGTGTTGCACCAGAAGAAGCAGGGTTGCAATTTTGGAAACGCTTGGATGCCTATAAAAGGAAAATTTTTGGGAAATGTATATACCAAGTACTTCTAAAACTGAAAAAATGTACCTAAAAATGCTAAAAAAAATTTCCCTTATAGAAAAAAGTAACGAAAATTTAATTCTGTCTCCAATTTGAAAGGGAAATAGCCTTTTGGCATTGACATAGCGGTGGATATGAACAAAAACAACAGTTGCATATGCGAAATTGCAATTTTAGCATGATTTAAAGCGCTGCAGCTTGTGAAGAAAAGAATTTCCAATGTTTGTCTAAACCTTACCCGCCACAACTTTTGCTTCAAATAAAAAACGAGTCACATTTTTTAGAAAAATTTATTTGTAGCATTAACTCCAACATATTGCTGCTCGTTTCAGCCATAGTTTCAGTGCAATTAGTCTTTTGTGTTTGTTTCTATTAAAACTCATATTTATGTGTAAATGCAAGAAAATAAAATATAATGCAACTAAGCTTTTAACTTAAAAAAATATTAGAGAGCCCACAATTATTTATTTTTTTATTGCCAAATATAACAAACTTCAAATGCATTATTTACGATTTCTCCGAATCAATACAAAATCATGCGTATATGTAGGTGTTTTGTTTCATTTTGAACATTAGTTTTTACGAAATCTAACTTACAAACATTCAAACAAAAGGCAATATTAGAATGCATACATTACTTTTCTCTTAATAGATTTAGTATATTTAAGTTTCAAACAAAGTTCTGTTGGATTCATATTACACAATACATTTTTGGCATTCGAAATGAAGAGTATATGTATTTATAAATTAAAAAAAGCACCGCTTTTAGTAACTTGATATTCCAAAAATAATTATACAAAACTTTGCTGCAAGATTCATGTTTAACAGTATTCGTTTCAATATCATTCAATTTACTGCACTGGTTAGTGTACTGCCTCGCTAGTAAAAGAAAATCAGATACTGCCTTTATACACCACGATTTCGTAGATCCTTGACTTTGTAAATTCGCACCAACCAATGCTCGGTCGTGTAGGCTTCCTCCAAGACATCAAGCTCAAAATCTTTGTTACCAATTTCAGCAGCTCTCACACGATCGTAGCCCGGCGGTTTACCACCTTCCGTGTACACTTGACCAAAACGGTAATAGCACATTTTGTACATCAGGCAATTGAGTAGGGTTGGTGAACCGTCTTTGTCTACACGAAATTCGCCATTTGGCGCATAGTAGTCGCGTTCTTTAATGTGTGCACCACGATCGGTACTACCGCCTATGCGTACCATCCATAAGAATTTGTTAATGTCATCAGACGAATAACCAGTTAGGCCACCAAATATGACAAGTACATAGTCCACATCAAGTTCACGCATAATTTCATACGCTTTCTCCTCGGATGAAGCCATGGCTTGTCCCACACGTGATATGTGCGTATTATTCCAGGTATTATTATCCACCAAAATAGTACGATTCGCCATTGCTGTTATTTGATAACCATAATCCCACCAGGACATGATGCGTGCATCCTAAAAACATAGATTCAAAATTAGTTTCAACAACATGGTAACTTTAATAATAGAGAAAATCAATTAACTGTCAGCTATTTTTATAGTACTCATATATGTTTCATACTCTTCCTATCAAGAATTTCAAGTATTCATCATGTGAAAATTTCCAAAAACTATCCAGTAAAGATTTTCAACTCACCTCGGGTGTATTCATCTGCAGCCAATAGTATGCCTCCCGAAAATCATCGAATATAATGCGGCCACCGTCATGTGACCGGGCACTGAGTACAATGCTGGGCGATGAATATGCCTCCGATGTGACCCAAGTACAGTGGAAAGTGTAAACAATAAGCATAAACGTAATTATGCCCACAAAACCAATTGCGACCTCGCTTTTTACGCCGCTACTTTGCTGTTCCAACTTTTTAAATTGACGCCTACTTTCAACGGTCTTCGTTGAACCGGCATCTATACACTTTATATACTTGGACAGCAGATGAGATGTGGCAATGCCGGAGAGAACGCACATAACAGGCGCTAGTACAAGCATTAAACGTACCATGACACCCGCAAAGTAAATACTGGTTACGCCATAGAGTATAATAAAAATATTCGAATCCGTTAATTTTGAGAAGCATAGGTACAAGCCAGCAGGAAATAGGAATACCAATATCTGAAATATAAAGTGTATACATTTAAATTTTTAATAAAGACACCAACATAAAGGAACTGGAGGATGTCAGCGATCAAAGTGTGAGGTAATCAATTTGTGATAAATAGCAGTGAATGAAACATAACACTCTGCTGCATATTTACGGACATTAAAGCGCACTCATCCAACAATTTGTCATCAACAAAATAGAAATATTAAATTAGCAAAATAGAAACGCATAATTACCTGCAAATCAAAGTAGAACGACGACCAAGATGTAGGTTGATGTTCTGACACCGAAGCGATGATGGGGATGTGATTCTTCGCATATGACGGATCGAGTAATGAGTAGAAACGACCGGTCCATGGTGACACTTTACCGGTGATTGTTAAAACGGTGCCAATTATGAGCACGGTTGTGAGTATGGTAGACACTAAAGCTTTGAAAAGAATCTCAAAGTTTTCCTTGGACAGACGTGCGCGTAAATAGTCGACAAGCGCATGTATCTGGCATAGACCGAAAGTGCCGAGTGCCTATGAGGGAGCAGAAAAAGAAAGATTTTTAAAGATTTCACTTATAAACAAATAAAAATATTATAGTTAAATTTTTTTCAGCTTAGTGTTTAGTACTCATGTGTGTTTCATACTCTTCCTATCAAGAAATCACAATAATCATCATTGAAAACATTTCTTTTTTTTCATACATTCATTGTTATTTTTTTTCACACTTACCAACATGTGTTCTGAACTTTGTATTGGCTGAAATCCAACAAAGGAAATCTGCATAGAGAGTATGGTGCCGACACAGTACAAAGTGCTATATGCTACATAAATGCGGTGTGAAAATCGACCGGTTATCATTAAAGCCAGCACATGCAATGGTATCAAATTAATCAGGAACACATAACCACCCCAGGATGAAACCATGTAGAAATAAGCCAATGCAGACATTGCTGACCAGAAAATGGCGCCACTCTTTACTGCTTTAATCCATAGATAGTAGGTAAATAACATACAGAAAATAGCAATGCCCTCATTATCATAAGAACCAGCTACCGAACGTGATATATAACCCGGTACAATTGAAATGAGAGCAGCTGCCACTAAACCTGCGCCAGTACTCTGCAAGATAAATTTATATATAAATCAAAAAATTATATTTCATATTCCTTAAGAAAGAAATTTTTACGAAAAAAAAACCACGTGTTGGAATATAAACGCACATAACCTACATTTATACACTAATCTTTAAGTACTTACATGAATTTCCTTAGTCAGCGCATATGTGACCAAAGTGGTCAGTGAGGAGAAAAATGGCGCTAGGAAGACACATACATTTCTAATCTCAATAGTGATGTTCAGTAGCCACATAAGCCTGTAAAGTGCGGCAGCTGTAACCATCAAACCAGGATAGATGGTACCGCCAATAATGCGTCCAAGCGGATACCATGCTCGATCATCAAACCAATTGTGAAACTTATAGAATCCTTGTTCCGCCAAAAACCGCGTGGTGCGGTAATTGAAGTATGGATCAAATTCATGGATAACGCTTTCAAAACGCAGCACCGAAAATAAGCGCGTGGCAAACGCTGAAAAGAACAAATCGAAATGAAAGAGATAATAAGCGAAATGTCAACGAGCTATGTGAATTGAGTGAAAAACAAAAAAGGCACTTCGAGTGTAATTTGCCTGCTGACAGCTAAACGAAATTGAGTAGATTTGTTTGGAACTGGATTTTCATATTTAGTTTGGTTTTCTTGAATGCATTGTTTACCAAAATATTATTTGCTTCAAAATGATTATTTCTTTTAATATTTGCCATATATTTCCGGCTTAGTTCAGTTTGTACTTACATAGAACAGCGGCTAAAATCAACACAGCCAATTTAATGAGATGTTCTTGCTTCTCCCACGTCAGTGATATCCTCGACCGACTACCAATCACGGAAGCTGTATCCAAAGTCATATTGTCCTACTCTTTGGAACAACTTACAGCCGCCCTTTTAGGTATTTCTTCACCAGAAAAGCGCAACTCCCACACAAACACAAGAAAACAACTCAGCGGAAAAGCCGGTTGTATGAAGCGCCGTTGAAACGAATGAAATTTTTACACGTCGATTTTGGCTATAAAAACACAACTCAAGGTTACACTTTTTATATAAATATATTTTATAATTTAATACTTATACACTCACAATTATTATACACTAATATATTTGTTTATTTTGGGTAAAATTGCAATTTGAAAAACTTTTTGTACGTGTTCGTGGCAAAAACGCCCAAGAAATTTCCAATCTGACAAATCTGAATAAATGTCAAATACCGCTAAATGGCCTCATGGTGATACCAGATCCGTAGATAATGTGATAAATTAAAATTTTACAAAACAGAAAAAATTGTAATTAATTTCTTGTTTAAAGTGAAATTTCCTTTATAGAAGGGCATAAACATTCAAATGGCAAACGCAACACAAGAATTAAAGCAGGTTTTACTAGGTTCCTTAATATTCAAAACAGTTCTTGGCCCATAATTAGGTCTCCTTTAAGAAAACAAAATTTTTTGAAATTTCGGGTTTATAAAAAATTAGCAAAAGGACGCTTCGATGATTAAAATTCAATTTGAAATCACTTAAAAAATGTTCATGACTTCAGCAAATAATTATTTAGCTCTATGTTAATGAATATTGATTCGATAATTTCTTATTCTGATCGCTAATTCGTCATGGTTTTCATGTATTGCTTGATTGGCATAAATTAATATAAATATCTAAAAATTTAAAGTATTTTCAAGAAAGGAGAGTCAATTTATTTCCTATATTCATGCTTTCTTAATTGAAACTTTATAATTTGCCGAAAATGTCACATGAAAAAAAGAAAGATATCTGTCTAAAACGTGTTCTAAAGCGCATGGATCGAATGAGCATTGGGTATATAAGAGAGAATCACATGTTGTTTTTAAGGATTGTTACTGTAAAAAACGAAGAATCGAAGGATTTAAGAAATCAAATAAGTTTAAGGTGAAAAATGTCAAGTGCTATAATCAAATTTTGAAATATCAGTTTTGTGGGAAAGAAAGTAGTGTGGCCACTCTGAGCTCGTATCTGGTACAAGCTTCTAACGATGCATGCGACACCTGCAGTTCAACTTCAGTTTGAGCATTTAAGCATTTCTCCCAAACTTGTTAATTCGTAAATTTCTATCTGTTTGTGATTTTAGTTTGTTTACAATATTAAGTTTTTTTTTATTACAAAAACAGTTTTTAAATAGTGTGATCTCATTTGTTAAGTGCTTTCTCAAGGTGTTACGTAAGTATTCTTTTTAATCTTGCAACTTTGCGAGTTTTTTCACTTCCGTCACATTTTCAACAGTTGCGCGGTAGCTTCCTTTTCCTTTTCCTTTTCCTTTTATATGTATATGCATGTATATATAAATATTGGTATTGGCTTCGTTTTTTTATATAATCCCCGATTTTAATTATTCGCCATGTTACAGCAGGTAAAGTGTAAGATTGTTTAGTTGAATTATTTTAATCGTCGTTGTTTTAAAGAAAATTTTGCGCAGTTAACAATTTTGCAACTTATTTTATACACGGTGCGAACCGTAACAGTAGTTGCATGTGCTTATTTTTTTTTTTGACAAATTGCATGCCCTCGAGGGACGACGGTTTGAGTATTTAGCCTCCTATGGAGGGGTATTTTGCACGTAATTTTGCTCATTAACACATGATATTTAAATTTATTTTTTTTTAATATTATTTTATTTTAGTTTTGGTTACTAAACCTTAATAAATATCAACAAACGCCCCCGGTGTTGACTCTAATTCTTAAGCTAATATTAAAGATTTTCTCCTCTCCTCCAATACTGTTTGTCAATTCCAAGCAGAGCTCTTTACCTGCAGCCGCAGTACGGCGCTCTTTGCATTGAGTTCCACGAATACTGCAGTGCCGAACATTTATTGTTTCTATGTATGTATGTACGTACGTATCGTTCGTTTGTTTGTTTGTGCGCTTTCATGTGGCTTTAATTTAAGCGCCAGGCAAGGGGCTACGAGCAACGGATACGCTAAGGAAGGAAGCTCGTAGGAATTTTATCAGTTGCAGCATCATGTGGAGACAGAACAAATACAACTTTTCACTTAGTCTATTTTCTGCTGGTAAATTAAGTTAGTTGAAGACTTTCTTTACACTTTTATTGAATTCTGAAAATTTCATTAATGAAAATATCTGGTGAGTCAAAAATAGCAACAAAAAAAAAAATTAACAAAATAAATAAAAAAATAATTAAAAAATAAAAATGTCGTAGGCGTACCGTAAGCGGCAATAAAGAAGAAGACTTACGAAATTTTGTTCGATAAATAAAAATCCTGACGCAATTGCAGGAGAAACAGTTGATGCATGAATCCGAGTTGCTTTCGAAGTTGGCTGAAATTAAGTTAGGTTAGGTTACACTGGCCGGGTTTTAGATCCGTTGGTTCTTTGTAGTGTCCTTTGGAAGTGCGTTTTAATAAGATTTTAAGTTGGCATTAGCTGATCCAATACCCAGCTCTTTCGAAAATTAAGTTATAAATCGTTTTTTAGGAATTTTTGTGTATTTTGTACTGGTTTTATAACATTAGCAATCTCATTATCTATTTCCAGCCGATTGCCTTCGGTAAGTCTGTCTACTGCTTACCAGCTTCTAAGTACATTTTCTGACGTAATATGTTGTAAGGTTTTTGCTTTTATTGTCGCTCGGCTGTCGACATATAGATTGATATTTTGCATATGGCTTTTGTGTTGCTAGCTACCTCAGCAGCTTTCCCTAAAGCAAAGATCTTCTCCTATAAGATATTGTAGCCCTTTGGAAGGTTGATATCTAGCCCAGTGCAGTAGACTTCTACGCCCATCTCATCAACCCTCTTTAGATCCATCGGTGTAGATGTATTGCGCATCACAGGCGACTCGAATGTTCTTGCGCCATCCGTCTTCCTTGAATATACCTTGAAACCTTCCTTCCCAGTTAAAGAGTTGCGGTACGCCTACGCCCTGTACCATAAGCTTCTCGCAAAGAATTTACTAAAGGCCATCAATTCTCCCCTGCGAAGTCAATTGGTTGTAAGTCAAGTAACTTTTCAGGTGTCGCCGTTGGGGGGAGGGGGGGGGGGTCTTTAGCGCTCCTGTTATGCACACTGCAGGGAGCCGCTGTAATCGTTCCAATCATTTTCGATATGAGATTTTGTTGGTAGCGGGCTAAACTTTGAAGTCTGACATTAAATTGTAGAAAGTTCTGTGAGAACATGCACCGGCTTTCTGACGACTTCAGATGCGCTGCAGTAATGAGGTGAATTAGAGAACGAGGTTCGGGAAATTTTGCATTTACGAAGTGAGCAATTCTGCATCAATGACTGCATCGACCTCATTACGACTCGGAAGAAAAGGATCTATACGCATCATTTCTTCAACAGCATCGAGGAGCTTTATCTACGTCGCTATGATTGAGTTTAATCTTCCCGCAATATTTGGAGAGAAAAAAGTTTTGCGAACAAGCGTATACCGTAAACGATCGAACGATGAGCTGAACGAGATGTACGACCAGGTAATGTATATTAAATACCTTATGGACCTCAACGATACAAAATCGAATCATATCTGAAGTGGTTGGTGACTACTGGCGAAAAGTAAAACACTTATAGCAACATCCAGCGAAATTGGCGGTCAGTAGGCGCAAATAGTCTTCCAGCCGCGATTGTAGGTCCGAAAGATTCAATTGTGTGTTTGGTTGCCAAAGAAATCGTCCATTATGAGCCGCTTCCCTACTGCCAAACTTTTAAATCGTTCATCGGAAGCGAGCAATCGCCCACAAACCCCAAGCGTTGGCCAGACTTTGTGTTTCATCAGGACAACACGGGACCACACGTCGATAGTGACTCTTCAGAAGAGCCGTAAACTTGGTTGGGAGGTTTTTAAGCATCCAGCTTATAGTCCGGACCTCGCACAAAATAACTGCTATCACTATCTGTTCCTGTCTATGGCGAATGATATGGCTGGTGAAGAATTGATCGCAAGAAACATGAATTGGATGATTCTAACTATGGCGAATTTAATGTGAGAATAATGGACTACTTTTTACTGAACCAATATATTATATGTATGAGTTAATGTAATGCCTGTACATATATATTGAAATTTCTATGCTGCTCCAGGGCATATAGTATGCTTGTGGGTGAGTGGGGGCGAATTGTTTGAAATAAAAGATTTATTTGTCACATTTCCCAATGGTCTCTTTATAACGAATGCACACGCATACATGCGTACTGAAGCGCTTACAAAGCTACTTAAATAGTAGTGAAAACGAATGTAGAGGTTAGGGTGAATCAAAAATGTTGTAGCTTCTTCTTCCGAAATTTGAGAGTTGAGAGTGATGAGAGCGATGAGATTTATTAGTTAAAATATAAAATATTTTGAGAGATCACTTGATATTACAGCTGATTGAACTGTGTGGCAAAGATTCCCACTTAAACCGGAAAAATCTGAGAAAGAAAGTTCATCGACCCAATCCACCATCTTTAAACGACAACATTATAATTCCCTTCAACTCTGTTGTAGCTCGATGTAATCTATGATAGCCGGAGAGAGCACGTTGTAAGCAGGGCCAATAAAATTCGAATCTGGAATACCTACAGAAGATCCTTATGCACCAAAATGAGGCCTATGACCGTAATGTATGTTAGGTCGGCTCATAGTAACAAATGTGTGGTGGTATGGCGGTCGAAATTGATGAAGATGTACAGTCTTAAGACCTTGGAGCAAGTGCAGCGTACCTACTTGGTATAGAAGATGCGCTGAGGACTACCTCAACATGAATCCTGGAATTTGTATTTGTGCTACTCAGTTGGTCCGATGCCTAAACAGTGAAGGGCATGACGGCATTCAGAAAATTATATCAGAACTCGGGCTAAACGGAAATCTGCTGCCGCGTACCGCGATGC